GTACAGGGTCAGTAGTGGTACTGACGTGCACAGCAGGGGCAGTGGTACCAGTACCACCGTGGGATCAGTAGGGTATGGTACTGGTACTGACATGTACCAGTACAGGCACCACCTGCCCAGCACTGGTAGGAGAGTGGGCAAGGCTGGGGCACTGCTGTCAGTGCCAGTACCAATACAGAGGTGCAGGTGTAGTGCCGATGGGCACGGGCATGGCACTGGTACCAGCACCAGTCCTGGCACGGCACCGGTGCCAGCAGGCGCTCTCTCTCTTGCAGGGCTTTCTTTTGGCTGGTGTCACTGCTGCTTTCCTCCCTCATCTGGTTTATCGCCATTAAAGCCAGCAACCCCCAGGATGAGCTGTTGCAGAAGGGGCTCTTGATATTTGGAGTGATGTTCTCTGTGCTGCTGCAGGAGGCCTTCCGCTTCCTCTACTACAAGCTCCTCAGGTGAGGGCATCTCCCACCCTGCTCCAGCACTGCCAGATGGTCCTTCTGCCCATCTAGCTATGGCAGGTCCAGATTTCAGCTGGGAGCTCGTGGCCAGGGGGGATGCAGAGCATGGCACCAAGCCACCTCGGTCCTTGCTGGGAGCACGTGGGTGGTACCTGTGTTGGTACATTGACCTGGAGCGGGTCTCGGGTGGCAGAGCAGAGCAGCCCTAAGGTCTGGAGGACCCAGGGCTGAGGTGGCTGGTAGTGGCTCCCTGAATTTGGGACAGGTAGGCTGTGGGTTTGGGCTGCTGCAGGAAGTGTAACATCCTCTCTGCTCTACTGCCTGGTGACTAGTGCCAGCAGTGCTCCTGCAGCTCAGATGGACGTTGGGGGTATGCTAGGCACCAGGAAATGCCCACTTTGCTGAGTGGGGGATGGAGAAGGATTAGGGATCTGCCCTTATCTCCTGGCAAGTCTTGTTCCTTTCTTAGGGACGGATTTGTGTCAGCGAGGACAGCCTGAAAGTGGTTTCAGTGCTCTGCGGGGTGGCGCATCGTTGCTGGCCCCATGCTTCATGTCCTGGCCAGCCCGGGGCAAAGTCTAGGCACAGCCTGAGCAGCTCCTGGCCTCCCTAGCGCCGCCGGCCTGGAGCGCGGGGGCTTGTGCCACCTGCTGGGTGAGCACGTACTGTACCCTGTACTGCTTTTGGATAGATGAACAGAGACTGCGCTGGGCCGGGCAGGCAGACGAGGGGAGGCGATGTTGAAGTCGGCATCCCTCATTACCCCCCCCCCCCCCCCGCCCCCATTAAGGCATAATGGTAGGACAGTTTTGAAGAACCCTTGCACTGCCACTTTCGAGTGCTATCTTGATTTGGTGTAGAAGAAAAACAAAACAATAAAATCATAGTTTGCAAAGCCAACAACTTGGCATGTTTTAGCCTCGCTGTTGTTCTTTATAGATACAGAGGTGCAAGTAGACAAAAACCAGAAATGTCTTCAGGTTTGGGGATTTTTTGGAAAGCAAATATTCAGCTGAATGTGCCTGGGGCTGCAGAGCCGTCTGGCATCCTCCTCATCTGCTGCACCTCTAGCTGACAAAACTTATGAAGCCTAGCTTTCTCAGTTTCTCCCCCCAAAGAATTTTTCTAGCTCTTTGAGCTCTTCCCTTCACCCTCTCCGTTTTTTCCCAACATCTTCTAAGAGTATAACTGCTAAGATCAGGTACACCCTCCTGGCGTGTGCCTCCCATGCCGGCACTGGGGCTGTTTTCTGTGTGGGGGTGCTGCTCACTTTGCACCCGACATCCCATTCACCCCACCCCTGCTCTGTGGGGCTGGCTTGCACTCACATCCCTCTGTGGAAATCTTTCTACGTGGCTTCATGTGGTTTTCACGTGTGTGGTTTGGCTGGTGGTTCAGGGTGGTCCTGCAGATGCTCTCCACGGCAGGTGTTGCGGTTCAGTGATGGGGAGGTTACCAGGATGGTGGGATGGTGCGGAGTGAGACCCCAGCTCCCACCTACTCTGTCCTGCTGCTGCACCATGCCCCGGGTGGCAGCCAGGCTGTGCCAGCCTCCAGTGTGCTCTCCCCTCTGCAGGAAGGCCATCGAGGGGCTGGTGGCCCTCAGCGAGGACAGCTGCTCCCCCATTTCCATCCAGCAAATGGCATATGGTGAGTGCTGCACAGAGCAGCCAGGCAGGACTGGGCATGGCACCGGGGGGAAAGGGAGGTTTCTCACCTTGAAGCTGGCTGGGTCCCCCAAGGGGCTAGGAGGTACCTGGGGTGGTCCTGGGTGGCTCAGGGCTTGACAGCATCCCTGTCCTGGCAGTGGCTGGTGTGGGCTTTGGGCTCATGAGCGGCGCCTTCTCCACGATCAATCTCCTGGCAGATGCATTAGGGCCCGGCACTGTGGGCATCCACGGGGACTCACAGCTCTACTTCCTGACCTCAGGTGAGCAACTGGCACCCTTTGCCCACATCTCTGCCCCACCACAGAGGCAGCAGATCCAGGGGGGCTGGGGCTCAGCCCCCTGTGCTCTCCCCTCCATGCTGCACCCCGCTGCCACTCCCCGTACCCATCTGAGCCCGTTGTGGTCCCCTGTCACATCTCTCTGTGCCAAACCCTTCTCTCTGTCCTGTGACCCTCCCTGCTCCTCTCCCCCATCCCTCCCAGCACTTCCCAGTCTGACCCAGCAGTGCCCCTACTCCCTTTCCCTGGCTCCTCTCCATCCCTCCCTGAGCCTGTGGGCTGGGCCAGGGTGGGTGGCTCCCTGGTGACACCCCTCTGCTGCTTCCTGCAGCCTTTATGACCATGGTGATGATTTTCCTTCACACCTTCTGGGCAATCCTCTTCTTCCACGGCTGTGAGCACCAGCGCTGGTGGGAGATCACAGCTGTTGTCGTCATGCACCTCGCCGTTTCAGGGTTGGTGAGTAGCTTGGAGCTGAGCTCTGCGCTGGGACCTATATTTGGGGATGGTCTTGGTGCGTGCTGGTCCCTGTGCTGGGGGGGCAACAGCCTTCGGCACTAGCGAAGCAGTTGGGTTTTGGGGATTTGCAGCAGTCCCTGCACAGGACAGGCCAAAGCTGGTGTCCCCTGTCCCGTTCCGCTCATTGAGGTGGTGACACTGCCACCCGTCCTGGCCTCGTCCTCTCCTGCCTGCTCACCCCTTCCTTCTCCCACCTCTTTCTCTAGACGTTTTGCAACCCCCTGTACATAGGCAGCCTGGTGCCCTCCTACCTGCTGATGGCCACCGCCGCCACTTGGGCTTACCTGCTCTCAGGGGGCTCTGCCCAGAACCTGCGGCGCTTCCTGCTCTGTAAGTCCTGCTCTGTAATGGGGACAGGGGACCCTGCAGGTTCCTCTGGGTACCTGGACCAGTGCTGGGGTGGGGAGAGGGTGCTCCAGGGGCTGGAGCAAGGGCATCATCCCCTTGGCTGCCAGACTAGAGGAGATGCTGGGGTTTGGGGCCATGGTCAGGTTGTTGCCTTTCCTGGGGGAAGTGAATGGGGTAAGGAGCCTGGTGAAAACTGCCTCCCTTCCCTCTTGCTTCCTGCAGGTCTATGGAGCAGAGCCAGCCCTCAGCTGGAATCCTGAAGCCCCGTGGGATGTTCCTGTCCCCAGCCACCCCTGCCATCCCCTCCATCTTGGCATCAAGAGTAGCCATCACCTTCTCTGCAATATCTTTTCTCCTGGACTGGTGGATCCTGGCTAGTCCCAGTGGGACAGGTGCTGGGGTCTGGCTGCAGCAGCCAGCTGACCAGTGTGGCTGGCTCTCTCTGCCACCCCTTTGGGAGCCCCCAGAGAACAGCTCAGTTTTGGGGGACTCGGCCTTGCTGGCCCTGCTGCAAGCAGAGCCCCAGTTAGCTTGCCTGGGAAGGATGCTACCTTGGACTGCTGGAGGCCTGAGCCCAAAGAAACCCATCGCTTCTCCCCCTGCTGCAGATGTGCTGTCCCCTGTGCCAGGGCGGGGGAAACCCGTGCTGCCTCCTCACCGCAGGGTGGAGGAAGTGGCTTTGCAAAGCGCTGCTGGGCTCTGGGCTAGGGCTGACCACTGTGGTGATACTTTCTCTGCCTCTTGGCCCAGCCTTGCTGCCCTGGGAGCCACAGCCCCCCACGCTGGACTGTGGTAACTGCAGTGAGCTGGCATCCTGGCATGGGAAGGGATGAGCGGGGGAGGATGGTGGGGCAGGGGCAGCCACTGGTACTGGGGGACCCAAGGGGGCTGACAGCATCCAGGGCAGAAGACAGTGCCATATGGAGGGGGGCAGAGGGCTTGGGAGGAGATGCAACCCTGCAACTGGTGCCAGCACAGCTTGGGGAGGGGGGGTTCAGGGGACCATGCCAGTGGCTCATTGCCCTCTTCTGCCCTCAGAGGGGGATTTTCAGGCAGACACCAGCCCTGATGCTATGCCACAGGGCTGGGAGGGAGAAACTGCCATCAGGATCAGGACTGAGAAGTCTACAGTGGATTTTTATACCAATAAAAAGAAGTACCATAGGTGAGTGTGTGTGCGCCACTGCTGGTGGCAGTGGCTTGTGCTGGTGTGACTATGGGGGGTGTCTGGCAGTTGCAGACCACAGTTGCCTGAAGGTCTTGCTCTGCTCTGGCTATCTCTGGTTTTACTGCTTTGAGGTGGAGGTTTGCTGAGAGCTAGAGACCTGCAGGTTCCTCCCCTCTCCCAGGTCCAGCCCATTTCTCTTGGCTTCATTGTGGCTGTGGAGCTCCCCAGGGCTTGACTACGGCTGATGCTGTCTCTGCCAGTTGGGAAGGGGTCCCTGTGCACCCCTCTGCTGTGGGTCAAGCTCCACCAGTGCCTGTTCCTGTCCTGCAGCTTCAGACTAGGACAGCAGAGACAGCTGGCACCATGGGAGGCTTTTACTTTTTTTTTAAATAACAAAGATATCTGCTGAGGCCAGACACTGCCCCAGGCAAACAGTCCATGTGGGTAGTCTGTGTGGCCAAGGGATGCTGGAGCACTGGCCCTCCCTCAGCCTAGAGCAGGAGTGAGGGGAGGTGGGGTGGGGCAGGCTGAGCCAGCAGGGCCAGGACCTCTGCAGAGTTGGGGCTCACATGGTGTTGTCAGTGGTGGCTGCCACGTAGATGACCTTGAATTTGGTTGGCAAGTCGAGCCTGGTGGGGGAGGAAGGATGTGTGTGTGTGTGTGTTGTTAGAGCAGGCGGGGGGGCCCTGCTAACCCATGTTGCTGCCTGAGAGACCACCCTTAACCCCTCTTCCCATGCCCCAGACTGACCCCTGCCTCCCCCTGGGGGCCCCTCCTCCTGCAGCTCCCCATTGCTCACTGTGCATTTTGACTGCAGTGCTTGTATCTGTATAGCAGGAAGGCCAGTATCATGATGGCAAAGAGCACCCCAAAGAGCACAGCCAGCACATCCCCTGCAAGCAAGCCGAGCACAGACATGTTACACTGGGGACAGTTCCCTGTGGCTACTGAACAAGGGAGATGGGGCAAGGCTGGAGGAAGCTGGTGGCCCAAAGGCAGAGGGGACATGAAGGCAACAGCCTCAGCTGAGCACACTTACCTGCCTGAAATGAAGAGCTGGAGTGTCCTGCAAGAGACAAAGACAAGAGGATGCCCATGAGAACCAACTGTGCAGATGCTAGGGCAGCCCTGCACCCCCATCATGGCTGCCTGCCCCTCAGCTCAGCACACAGCTGCCAGGACCCCCCTCCCCAGGCAGGTACACCCCCCCAGCCACCTTCCCCTCTTTCAGGCCAGCACCTCACCTACCTGTTGCTATCTGGAAGAGAGACAGCACAGTCAAGAGGTTGCCGGAGGTGTTTGGGGAGGGAAGTGTCAAGCCTGCTGGGCTTCAGGCCATGCTGCCAAAGCAGGGCTGCCTGCAAGATTCCCCATTGCCCATGAGCAGACAGGGGATAGCTGCCCTCTGCATCCCCAGCAGCTCGCAAGCTTGGCCCCAACGCCCTGCCAAAAGCATTAAGGGAAAGGAAAAAAAAAAAGTTTCATTGAACCACAGCCCACACAAAAGCCTCATTGAGTTCAGCCAGAAACTCCCCCACTGCAGCTGCCACCACCCAGGGAGCAGAGCACCACAGCACCCCATGACCACACCAAGCCCTGCAGGAGACCCTGGAGAGGGGCATGGGGTGAGCCCAGCAGGCAGCAACCACAGGGACGGCTGCCCGAAGAAAGGCTTGGAGGTAACTGGAAAATATGATAAAGTATCTAATAGGTTTACCAAAGTAGAGCATGCCAGCCTAACCTGATATCCTTCTTTGATAAGTGATATTCTAGACAAAAGAAAATGCAGTAGATTTTATCTCTCCCAACTTCAGTGAAGCATTTGATGTGGTGCCACATAGGAAACTGCTAGCCAGGATGAAGACCATATGATTAAAAGCCTATAGCTGTTAGCGAGCTGGCTGCAGGTGGGAAGTGCCCTGCACCAGCGAGTGGTTACTGAGGCATTGCCCAAGGGCCTGCAACCGAGCCTGTGTGCTGTTTCTATTAGTCACCTTGACACAAGGTGTAGGAAATGCCATCAAAACAGAAAAAGAACAGGATGTTGGACAGAAAAACCCCAGTGACCTCAGAGAGCAGCAACAGGCAAGAATTCAGCAATGCAGAGTGATAGTCACACCTGAGGGTTAACAGGAATTTCTACTCATCACTGGAAATCACCAACGCAAGAAAGGCCTTTGAGGACAAACTAAGGATGGGCAGATGGGGATATGTCAGGCAGGGGACCGTGTGCCCGGCCAGGATGGCTGTGTTGCCCCACTGGCAGAGCACAGCCTTCGGGAGGGGTCCCCTGCACTGCCCTTTCTGCAGTTCTTGGCACTTGGCAGTGGGGTGTTCGCTGCAAGCCTGTACCTCTGCAGCTCCTACTGAATTTAGGTATTGCATTTGGGGATGAAGAATCTGGCTGAGGTGCTAGGAGTTGGCTATTCACCCTTGACCATACATCCCCCAGCCATGCTACTGTTGCTTCTGCAAGACCAAGGACAAAATAGTTCCTAGAAACCGATCTTCCCTATGTAGGGAGAGACAAGCACAGAAATGGGGGAGAGCAGGACCCCAAGACCAGCGCTGCCACAAGTCACCTGCCAGGCAGGGCTAACCCATGCAAATGCTGCATTTCCAAAAGAGAAACAAAGCCTCAACTCCTGTTCCTCACCCCGTCCCTGCATTCCCGTGGCTGGGTACAGCCTGAGCCCATTCACGTGCTCCTTACCAGAAGGCAGCTGCTTCACCAAAAGGAGGGTGGTCTGGAAACTTGCCAGCACCTGTCGCCCATGCAGGTCCTGCACCAGCCAGAAACTGTTCTGCAGAGGTTTGCTGTCATCATTCCTCAGGCTTGTCACCAGCACTGACATCTGGAAGGAGATCAGCGTGAGCAGAGCAGGGTGCATCCTGCCTTCAGGAACCAGGTGAGCCCCAGGGGACCAATGTGGATGGTGCATGCTTGCGGGGAGAGGCTGGGCAAGACTGAGCATGGAGCTCATTGCCCTGATGGACCTGGTCATGAGAGAGCAGCATGGTCTGGTTGAAGACTGTCCACTTCACCATCTGGTAGCAGGAAGGGGTGGTCAGAGAGCCATTGTAGTGGAAGTAGAGTTTCAGGTTGGCAGGCAGCAGGCCTGCTATGTTGAATCCAGGCACCAAGACTTCCTCACCTGGGAGAAGGAACACCATGGGAGCAAGAGTGGGGTAACCCCTTGGAGGACAACAGGCAGGACCAGCATGGAGATTGTGGGAACAGATCTGACCTGGAGCATCCCCCCCCAGCCCAGCCTGGCACCACGTGTGCCAGGATCCACCCTGCTACACCCAGTGTGCTGGAGAAAGGGCAGTAGGTTTGCCCTGGAGGTAGGGGAAAGCATGTGCGAACAGAGAGCACCTTGGAAAGCTGTTTCTGTACAAGCTATGTAATGCTCCCCTTCTCATACACACAGCAAATGCCTGCTGCAGCCTCTCTGCTGTGCAGCGGGTTTCTCTGCTGGGCTGCAGCCCCCGAGACAAGTACTAGGTAGGACAGGGCCTTACCTTCTCTTTGGATTTTGTACAGATGCTCAGGTATTTCCTGATGATAGTATGGGTTCTCCCTTGGCCCAACCTGCAACACAGAGACCCCACAGAAATGACAAGCACAGGGGCCAGAGACCAGGTGGTGATGGCAGTGCCAGCAGGGAAGAATCACTCCCTGCGAGGGGCACCCTGTCCCAGTGACCCCTTCCTCCCATCAGGGCTGCCCTGCTCTCTGATACTGCCCTCTCTCTCCCCAGGTACATTTGCACCTTTGCCTGTCCCCAAAACTGTGCCTGACTGCCCCCCCCCAGCACTGTTCCTATCCATTCTTGCCCAGGGCTGAGCTGTGGGACTCACCTCCAGGAAGGCTCCTAGTATGGCCAGGCCATCCAGGTGGACCATTGCCTCCTTAAAGCTGTCATACTTGGCGTTGTAGTGGACCACGTGGATCTGGAAGGGAAACATGCAACCCTGATGCAGTATGGGCACCTCCAGGAGGTGCTCACCCCCATGGGGCTCTAACCTGCCAGAGTAAGGGCTGGGAGAGACATGCACCCGTGCCAAGCACCCCTCCTAGGAAGGGAATATGCTGGTGGGACTGAGAAAGTGTGCCACTGCAAAGCAGCAAGTGTGAAGGGCTGCCCACAGGAACTTCCCCAGTCACAGACAGCAAACCAGTACTCTGTCCTAGATACCAGGGGGTCGTACCGCAGAGCCAGGCTCAGTTTGAGGACAGCACTAGCAAAGGAGGAATAAAACCAGATGGGATCTGCAGAGCAGGAAGACAGTGTGTATGGAGTAAACAGTCCCTGCAGCTCCCAAAGCAGGCTGCTTGTGGCTGGCCGGGGGGGGGGGTGCCTGGGGAGCTGGCTCCCCCAGCCTGGGGACCACCATGGCTCCTGCTCCATCAGCCCAGGACCAGGCTGCAACACAGGGACAGGCTGCACTGCTCATATGCGGCCAGCCCCAGCCCACCTGCGGGCAAAGCATCCTGTCTCCTCCTCACCTCTGCACCGCAGGCTGCGGCGTGAGTTTGGCTCTTGGGCACTCGGCACCAAAGCGTGGGCTCCCACACTGAACTCTGCTGCTGCAGAGTTGTCTGGGGAGCAGGGATCCTGGCCAAGTGGTTACAGCATTCATCCAGTGACAACCAGGACCATAGCCTAGAAGCTGGACAGCACTCCAGCACCAGGAGAGGAAAGGATGCATCCACCACCGCAAGGGCTCCTTACCTCTGCAGCAAAGCAGCACCTGTTGATAGTGTGCTCCGAGCCAGGTCCCAATAGGGAGCCCCAATGCAGGTGCAACTGCACGGCTTGGTACTGCTGGGCATAGCCACCGGTGATGGCCAGTGACTCAGGCAGCTCAAGGACAACTGCAAGGGCAGAAGGAAGAGGTCAGTCAGTAAAACACAAAGCCCAGTCCGTCCCACAGGTACACAGAGATGTCTCAAGGGAACGAGTCACCCTGGGCTTGTGGAAATTTGCCACAACAAAGCAGCTTGCTTTCCATATTTAATGAGGCTATGGGTGGGTCAATGCCCAGAGCTGTGCCAATGCAATAGGCTTCAACTTTCCACTTCAGGTAGCGAGACACCCTGGTAAATACATCAGCTTCAAAAATAGCTGCTATGAAAATGCTGGAAAGTGAACAGCCGCCCCTCCCCCCGAGACTCCCAGGGACCAGCTCCAAGCCAGATGTTATCCAACAATTTATTCAGTAAGTGAGACTAATATAAAGAGACCATGGACAAAATTCATGGAGAAAGATATTGGCAGAGTGGTGAGAGCAGGACAGTTGGGGACAGAGAGCTGCAGCACTTGGCAAGCTGGGACCATTCAAACAAAGTGGCCTGTGAGTGTCTGACCAGCACTGGAGCTGGTGACACAGAAGCATTAAGTCTTCTAAAAGCATTTAGAGCTAAAACTTTGTCTCTTTGGGTACAGTAAATACATACTGGATTTTGCCTTTTACTTTAATGTGGTTTAGCCAGGTATCTTGGACTCATGCAGCAGTGTGGCAGATCTAAAAGCTGAGTTACCTGGACATGCAGCAAAAATATCAGGAGCATCCCTGGACCCTGAGAAAGGCTGTCCTGTCCTTCTAAGCACCTTTTCCTCATTTTTAAAAATCAACTCTCTTCCTACCTCCTTTATAGGTGAAGTGTCTTAGTCACATCACAGAGCTAGGGCACAGATTTGGTATTAACAATGTAACAAGGCTGTGATGAGACATTTATCCTCTGTGGTGTTCCCTGCCACTGGGCTCAGAGATACAAGACTCAAATATCAGAAGCAGGAGACTGCTCCCTCCCTGCAAATTTATCTGCTTTTACATTTCTTTTGTATATTTAAATCAGTACATTCCTTCTACTAGTTACCAGAGTCATTTTCAGGCCCTTACAAGAGCTTATACAGTGTATATACTTTATATTACAAAAAGGAGTAACTGTACAAATATCTTAGTAGACTTGCAACTTTTTATTTATGGCTTTTCATAAAGCAGATCAGCAGTTGCCAGAATAAAAAAAGGCATCTTATAAACATGTGAGAAACTACTTCCCCCCTGTCGTGGTTTAACCCCAGCCAGCAACTAAAGCACCACATGGCCGCTTGCTCACTCCCCCACGGTGGGATGGGGGAGAGAATTGGAAGAGTAAAAGTGAGAAAACTCATGGGTTGAGATAAAGACAGTTTAATAGGTAAAACAAAAGCCGCGCACGCAAGCAAAGCAAAGCAAGGAATTCATTCACTACTTCCCAGTGGCAGGCAGGTGTTCAGCCATCCCCAGGAAAGCAGGGCTCCATCACGCGTAATGGTTGCTTGGGAAGACAAATGCCATCACTCCGAACATCCCTCCCTTCCTCCTTCTTCCCCCAGCTTTATATGCTGAGCATGATGTCATATGGTATGGAATAGCCCTTTGGCCAGTCTGGGTCAGCTGTCCTGGCTGTGCCCCCTCCCAGCTTCTTGTGCACCTGGCAGAGCATGGGAAGCTGAAAAGTCCTTGACTAGTGTAAACTCTACTCAGCAAGAACCAAAACATCAATGTGTTATCATCAACATTATTCTCATCCTAAACCCAAAACACAGCACTATACCAGCTACTAGGAAGAAAATTAACTCTATCCCAGCTGAAACCAGGACACCCCTCCCACCCCAATGAAAATACTCTGACTGCTTTTCTGAACGCCAAGCAACACCAGATGCCAGGGTGTCTAAAATAGCAGCTAATTTAAGTCTTCAGGCATGCTAGGGCAGGAGGCAATAATATAAAGCTCTGTGCATGTACTGTGTGGCTGATCTGACCACGCACAGCGAGTCCAACCTGTTTGCTGCATACACAGGTCAGCTCCATCTCACTAGCTACCAGGGCAAGGAGGTGCCTTATCACACCTTCAGTGAGTTTAAGTCCCTGTCTCTGCCAGCTTTTCTTTTAGTTCAGGGACTGGCAGACACCAGCACACACAAAACACTCAACGTGCTCCCAGAAAAAGCCAGTAGCAACCATGACCACCATCCCCAGCTGTGGGATGGTGAGCAGGAAGGAGATGGGGTTTTCCTTCCATACCTGGCATAGTGAGACTGCTACTAAAATAATGTGAATAAATTGTGTCTGGACTTTCCAAAAACATTCTAAAATTGGAAAAGAAAAAACCCTACAAAAGATCTTAAGATCCTGAGATAGCATCCTAAAGCACAGACTTAAAGAAGTTGGACAATGTTGTGTCCTAAAAGACTGAGAGGTAGGTACTTTAAAGGCTAAGCCACATCAGAGACTGAATAGTCCTTTAAAAGTGAAATGCAGGAGAGGAACCAGTTGCTGCAAACCTGCATCAGAAATACCGGGACACATTTTTTTTTTAAGGAAACATGGGTTATAACAAATTCCTGGAGCAAGCTCCCAAAGGCAGCAATCAGCAAGTTCTCCATCTCCTGGTTTCTCCCCTCCAGCCAGGAAAGTACATGGATTCACACAGGCTCAGCAGCCCAATGCTTCCCTTTTGGCTTTGAAGGCAACGCAACTGCAGCCTGCAAGAGAATCCCCTTCCCAGAATCCAGGGAAAGGGTGTCAGAGAAACCTGGTCCTGCCAGGAAAGGCTAAGCAGACTCCGCCTGCACTCCAGCCTGTGCCTTTGCACCCACCTGTGTTCCTCAGCTTGAGCTTCTCATTGGCAGGCAGGCTGTAGCCAGAAAGCTGGATCGGCTGCAGCTGGGGGCTGAAGATGGTCTTGGCCATGTTGATGTTGATGGGCGACTGCATGGTGCCCATGCAGCCCTGGTAGTCCACACCCCAGTGCTCCCGGTCTGGTACGGGGAGGGAGGGAGTGCCAGTGAGACCACCTGGGCAAGGAGCCTGCCAGAAAGGAGATTTGGTGGGTGGCAGGGAAGGGCACTGGCCAGGGAATAAGCCATGCACACAAGGTTAGTTTCCACCAAGTTAGCTTGGGAGCAGCTCTGTGCCACCATGTGACTGTGTGCAGCTGTATCAGGAAAGGTCTCAGAGCATGGTGAGCTACCAGGACAGTTTATTTAGAGGTGTTTGGGAAGAGTGCAAGAAGATCATTTACAAACCTGTTACTGGAAAGCAGCAAAATAATTCACTCTCTAAAGCTTAGTTTTGGAGTTTTAGAAAGCAGGCATTCTTTATTACAGCGCCGGGCAGCACTGGGGATCATTCCACCATGAGTGCTCTGACGGCTTGATAAACTTTCAGTAATTATATACTATGAAAATATACATATTCATAGGATTTCCGAGAATACGTTTACATAAACATGAGATTTCCTGGAACTTATTAACATATGTAAATGTCCGATCCATATGCGCAGTCGTCTTCCGTGGTGGTCTTCAGATGAAGGCTCGTAGTCTTCTTCACTGTGTTCGCTGACTGACCTTTACTTCTGCGCAAACTCAGTTCTGGGATCACGGACACTATGTCCTTCAAGGTCGGTTTGTTCTGGTCTAATGGTCATCTTGCAACTTTCTTATCCTCATGGTTCCGCATATCTGCTCTCCCAAGGCCTAGCTGTCTGAAGGGGGAGTATTCAGGAGCTTCTTATCTTACAACTGTCCTAACTATTCACATTTACTTTTGTTTGGTTACATCTGTTGTGCAACGATTCTAATGACTTGAATTGATAGCGTCTATCTATATTCGCAGGTATCAAATGGACTTGGCAGGCTGAGGAGCTGCTGCTCTGCAGCTCATCACGTTTGCTGCCTTGCACAGTCTGGCTTCTGGCAGGTATCAACCTACCACTTTGCCTGCTCTGCTACCCGAGCCCTACAAGCAAGGTGCCACAGTGCTGCTGGGATCATGTGAGCCCACAGCCACAGGTCTGATGATAGGTTCCCAGCTATAGTTGTGTTGGTACAGCCCTGCAAAGGGCCAGCTCGCATAGCTGGGGTGACTGCTTAAATTGCTGCTTCTCTGGGATAAGCACGGCTGATGCCCCAAAATCTCCCCTTGCACCACAGGGGCTACTTCTAGCATGCCTCGGGCCAGTGCAAGCCCAGGTTCACCTTACCAGCCCCTCATAGGACCCCTGTAAAGACTGAGCTGGGCATTAGCAGGTCCAAGCCATCCCCTGGTCCCAAGCAGAGTGATGGTGCCAGGGCCTGGCCCACCACTGTGGTAGGAAGGTGTGCATTTGCTAGAGCTGCAGCAATGCCCATCACAGGTACTGTGGAGAAGCCCCCCAAGCCATGGTGGGAGAGCAGGGCCAAGCAGGATGGGGAGGGAGGGGGACAGAGGTGAGGACACAAGCTAATCCCCGAGCAGGTCAAAGTCCCAGCACGGGCTGCAAGTCCAGCCTGGAGAGCCCAGCCTGCTTCCCAATTTGGCATAGGATCAGGCAAGCACCCGTTCAGGGAGGAGCCCTGCCCTGAGGGGCATCCCCCACACCCAGGGGACCCTTGATGCAGCTGCTGCTTCCTGCTCAAATCAGAACAACCCCTGGCTCTTCAGCCCATCTGTACCCAGGTTCAGGCACCGCTGAGGTGGCAGGGTCAGGCAGGATGGAAGGGCGAGCAGCAGAGTGTGCACAGGAGCCCTGTAGTTGTTAACCACAGTTGGCTCAGGCCCAAGGTCTGCTGGATGACAGGAAAAAAGCAGGAGTGACTGCAGGGTATTTACCTTCATAAATCCAGTGACTGCAGTCAGGACCTTGAAAAGGAGAAAAAAACCCACATGAATGGAAGAAAAATGTTGGCAGCAAACACACCTCTGCCAGGCAGCACTCTCGGCCCCAGCAGCAGGTCCCTGGGCTCCCACTATACCCCTCTGCCTTCAATCCCCCTCCCTGCCTTTGCTTTCCCACTCTTCCCCTGCCCCAGTGAGGGGAATGCTCCTGGAGGGCACTGTCTCCTCTGAGCAAGGCCAGGTCTCCTGCATGCTTCAGCCAGAGGGAAAACCCCAGGGACTGACACTTTGTTATCATCCTTATAATGGAAAAATCACAGATCTTGGCTTCCGTCATTGAGGAGCTGTACCAGTGCTCCTGAAGCTACTCTGGAGCAGCCAAAACCTCCCACTATCCCAAGACAAAGCACTTAATGAGACAGGCCTGCAGCTTCCCTGCTCAGGCTCTATAAGCAAGAGCAGCCAGGGAAGTGGCTGTCCTGGTGGCACTCCTGCAATGCCAAAGTGCTGGGGGAGGTGTGGGGGAAGAACAGCTCCCGCACCACGAAGAATTTGGGTAGCAAGTTGCATTGCACTGCACAGACACCCACTGGGGAAAGCAACCCCGGGACTCACAGCAGAGGAAGCAAATGAGCACCAAAACCTTGTCTTCCTCAATAGCAAGTGGCCCTAGCCACAGGGGCAGACTGCCACAGGAAAATGTGCCAGACCAAACACAGTTTCCATCCCAGCAGCCTCCTGCCCCAACTCACCCAACCACCCAAATTCCTACACAGAGGTGTGTAAGGGTCCTACCTCATGCAAATCCTTTCTCTAAGAAAAGCAGAGGGGAGGATGGGGGAGCCCATGCCAGGACCTCTGCACACCCTGTGTCACCCATGGGGCACACAGCAGCCACAGCAGGGCAGGATGTGCTCTGGTGCAGGACATGTTGGCATGCCCTGAGCCTCCCACAGCTGAGGGTGTCCCTGGTGTGCAGACCTGGAGGGAGCAAAGCCCTCTTGGGGCAGGTTCTGAGGATACAAGTGCTCCATACACCATCACTCTCTTCTGGAGCTGCCAGCAAAGCCCAGGCTCCCAGCATGTCACTGGAGCTGGCCTTAGAGGTGCCCCAGAGCCTCTTCTCAGACACTCCTGACCAAACAACTTGGCTATCACCAGCCCTTCCACAAACAACCAGCTCCAGGCAAAGGGACACAGGACTTGGATTTGCCCCAAGTAGAGAAACACAGCCCATAAGGATTATGCCCCTGCCCTGACTGGCACAACAGGTAATTCATGTGCTCCTCCTCTGACTTATCCTTACCAGCATGCTCACCATGGGCACAGCGCTGGTGCAGACAGGCTGTTGTCCCACATGGGGTGGGACAGGCTTGGGGCAAGGGGGTGCATGCACCCAGCAGCGAGGGGCAGCACCCACACCCACCTCCATCAGCTCCCCAGGGTGCAAGGACATGGAGGAGCATTTAGCAGGTACAGTCCAGCCCTGATATGATCTCCGTCCCTCAGTGGGGCAAATGCCTGCCAGCCCAGCCAGGATACAGTAG